GGAAGATGGAGGTGTCATGGTCTGGGAATATTTTACAGGAGCAGGACCTGTCCATCTCGTTTTCAAAGAATCCATTATGAAATCTTTTTAAAGAAGAATGTGAAATCATCCTTAAAATATAAGAGCTAAAACAGAGCTGGACATGAAACCCGACAATTACACAAAATATAATATTAAGTTCAACAAAGGTCTGCAGAAAATGAAGAAATGGAAAGATCAGTTCCCTGTGTTGAAGCTGAAGTCCCACGGGAGTTTACAGTCGGTGTGAGCTGCCTCCCTAGAATATTAAATGGAGCCTAAGATTTAGGAAGGATGGAGAGGAAAACCATGGTTGGTAATAAAATGAAGACTGGATAAAAATAATTTGTGTTTCTTTGTAATATTGTTATTGAATTAAAAGATTATTCAGAACAATGTCTATTCAAATCTAGTTATGGAATAAAATATGCCCGATTTCATCAAGGGATGAAAATCAGTCATCTAGATCACAGGCTAGTGAGGTCCGTGCAAAGGATCCACTAATTCCTGTCAAAAAACAGGAATTAGTGGATCCAGGTCCTCATTCACTTCAGACTCATTGCATGTTGATAAAGAAGGAAATGCATAAACCAATATCTATATATATATATATATATATATATATATATATATATATATATATATATATATATATATATATATATATGTATAATTGGTTTATGTTGCAGCAACTAGCCAAGGTCTGCCTGTTTTTACACCTATTCATTTCTGTTGATAGAGTTCCTAAATCTATACCATAATTTAGCCAATTTCCCTTTATTTCTGCTTTTGCTTACATGCACAGTGCTTGTCTGCAACTTAAGCAAAGAGAACGTGCCTGAGCATTTTAATAACTTCTACACCCAGCTGGTTTGCATCCTTCACACATGATAAATTACAGCCAAATCTCTACAATGGAAAAAGCGTGAAAAAGTAGGACAAACACAAGAAGCACTTACTAATGAATCATCTACATAATATTTTTAAATAACTCAGAGGTGCAGCTAATTTGAATGAAATTATTTTTTGTCTGGTGACACACTTAAGAGCATCTGCACTGCTCTAGCTGCCTTCTATATTCTTATAGTGTGGGATGGAGTTTTTTTCTTTAGAAGCAGCCGTCACCACAGAAACCAGACATCTCACCACACTAATCTACCTCTCTCCTCCTCTCCTTATCCAGCATAACACTCCATCATCAATAATGCACATTCATCCTCTCAAGAATACTTACAGTGGTTGATAGGCAATACTTGTGAGTATTTGCTCCTTATTGAATCACTGTGTTTCTTTGTACACGCAGGAGCTAGTAGTTGTATCTACTAATCTTCCCGTCGATATGAAAACACTACTCATGTTTGGACTGGTTGTTAAAGCAAATTAAGAGTTTAGATGCAAGGAGAAACAACACAAATTTGGCTACAGTATATGTACACGCTGAGCATGCCTGGATGTCTCTAACTTATGGTTACTATAAGCCCTTTGACTGGTTTCTATGATAAAAAAATGCTGAAGAAAAATGGTAGATTTACCATTTGTGAGTTTACTACAGCATTACAATTAACGCTTTATAGGACACTCAATGAAATACTTTGAAAATTAAACTTTCTAGCCAATAGTGTTATTGAAATCCAGGACAAGACCTTATTACTTCTCTAACATTCAAAAAAGAAACACCAACTTGCCCAATTATAGTAAGAAAAATAACAAAAATGCTTCTGTAAGAAATTCATGAAAAAAACAAGTTTTTTTTCTCCAACATAACCTTAGAGGCATTAATGCTGATACTGGCATTATATTTAGTTTATAAACCTAAATATAATTGTTAACTAGGCTTATTAACTTTTTCACTTTACTTTTCAATTAGCTTTCTAAATTTTTTCTTGACTTGTTAACTTTTTTAAACTTAATTTGCCGTTGGTAATATATCATCCAAGGACTCATCTAATTGGTCAAATGCCAAAATAAGTTGTACAGCCATGTAGCTGTATCTTTGCTGAATGGACGGATATAGATGTTGTGCTTCTAGACCTCACTAAGGGACGGGGCGGACTCCATTTGTAAGGGGGATGTAAGTGATCAAAAACAGTAACTTGCCTGATAAAGGGTTAATATCATTTGCAATATAATCACAATCTCTAAAAATGGTACTCCTACTTGGTCACGTTACTATTAAACACAGTAAGAAAGTCTCTCAGTCCAGCACTCTTGATGGCGCTAATAAGTTAAATTCAATTCAGTTTATTTATATAGCTCCAATTAACAACACGTCATCTCAATGCACTTTACAGTTCACTTGATATAGGTTTAATGTCACAGAGGAGGGACAAAAGGTTGCAGCTAGTATGCATGGGAGAGAAAGCATTTTTTCACACAGCCATTAAGTCCTGTGTGCCAATAAAATAATTGCAGTTTTGGTTTAAAAAAAAATACAAGTTTGATTTGTGGCAAAATCAGACAGCTGTGGAATTTGTTATGGTTGTTACTGAGTGAAGCAGATTCAGCATAAGCTGTTTTCAAGTCAGTAATGGTGATGTCGCACCTTGACAATTAAGCCAGCGTATGCCGAAAAATTTGGCAAAAAAGCTGCCGTATGTTGGATAAGTTATGGGTAAGTTTTGTATAAGTAATGAGCAAACTGAAATATGCTGGCATACGTCGATATACGGCAGGTTCGTCAAGAAATTTTGAGCATGCTTAAAATTATGAGCATGCTTAAAATTTCTAGATGTATGCCAGCGTATGCTCATACATAGGCCATAAGTTACAGGTAAGTGATGTGATCGTTGACATACAATAATTATAAATTAATCATAAGCCGTGGTTTCCAGCTTATCCAACCTGTATCATCCCCATCGTAGGGTGAGAGAGAAGGTGAGTCTGATGGATCTGCCCTGCGTTCACACCCACGCTCACGATCAACAAACTTCCTAACAGACATGAAGCTGAATCTGCTGAGACTGCAAACATTATTTCTTTTTTTCGTCTTTTTGGCGGGTGGTAAACAGCAGCTAGGTTAATACCACGATCAAAGAAATCTTACTATGCAGACCGGGCGCCTCCAGGCGCATTGCTGACCCCCCAGGACACTGACTTGTGCATCATTTCATGGGCATTACACTGCCGTGCGTAATGCATAATGTAGGCTGTCGTTGGACAAACGTGCTGGACTCATTATGAATACTCTATGTATAAGCCGAATACTGAATAAATACATAGAAAGTTCAGCATATGCCAGCGTTTAATAAGGTTCTGGGACGTCGGCATACGCTGCCTAAATTGTCAAGGTGTGGCAGAGCCCTAAGGTGTTAAGAACTTGTTGGGAACTGTTGTAAAGATACAGTTTGTTGGAAGGTATGAGTTATGGAATATGCTTAAGAATGTTTGCAGCCTTTGAGAATCTCAAATTTCAGGTAAGGATCTATCTTCTCGAGGAAAAAAAGTAGACTGCTGTTTAGGCAAAGCTAACCACCAGTCAAATCAGATGTCACAGGTTGGTTAAACCAGTAGAAAGGTGAAACATGTGCTTACAGTTCTCAATCTGGCTACTGTTGGTGATTGCTGATTGCAATTAAAAATACTTTGAGATTCAACAGTCTGACATTTTCCTCGTGAAATTTCTGTTAAGATTTTATTGCAAAATATGCAACATTGTTTTTGTAATCTGTATTTTTACCAGCCTAACAGCCCACTGATCCAAGCAGGAAATTCAAAAGCTAAATCACTCCGCTCAGAATACTTTAATACACTGAATACTAATTCGATTTTATAAAGACGAATACTTTTGTGTTTGTATTTTGAGGGCCACTTCTATCCTGTGCTGCGATCTGGACTCGGTGCAGGAAGTGGCCGAGATGAGGGTGTTATCCAAGCTCACCACCATCATGGACAACGCCTTTCATCCCCTGCACCAGACTGTAGAGGAACTGAGCAGCTCTTTTAGTGAAAGACTTTACAATGCCACTGCCCTATAACCTGGTGTAATAACACTGCAATAACTCGTACTATTTATCTATTTAACAAACCTTTATTTTTTATCCTCCTCTGCATATATATGGATGCACTGTATATACTTCATGCGCATTTTCCTCCTTTGTGCATCTTCTGTTTCTTTATAACAGCCGATGTTACAAGTGAATTTTTCCATTTTGAGATCAATTAAGTTATATTCTTTTTGTAGGTTTAATATCCCACATTTATATTATCATTCATACCTTCAATGCTTGTTATGGTCAAATACAATTTTAGAAATCCAACAACAGGCAGCCATATTGAAAGAAAAAGGACCAGAGCTTTGTAACTCTTCATTTGCATTTCTGTCTATCACCACCGGCTGGCAGCAATTCAAAGAGGTGACCCTGTCTGGTAAAGGATGCACACAGAAAGCTACCCTCTCATACACAATCTGACGAGTGTTAAGCAGAGTGTGTCTTTATATTGAGAAGCTTTTCACTTTTCACTTGCTGTCATTCCTTATTAAAATTAAATTCAGATTCTAAAATAAAATATAGCAGAAACTATTCTGGAACACATAAAACAGCTTTAATGAGGTTTGTTACAATCTATTGACTATTTGTCAAATGTGCTACCTGAGCTGGGTAGCAGAATTATACACTGAGATATAAAGATCTTATACGCACAGACAAAACAGGAAGAACAGTTTTTTTCATGTTTCATAAAGAGAAGGGGAAAAGATAAAAATGGAGTATTGAGGTATAGATAGAAAATACATTAGCGGGTGAGAAGATGAAGACAAAGCACAGGTGAGAGACGGACTGAAATGTGAGAAAGCGGCTCCGGGACACAACAAGGTGTGACTGCAGAAAGTTGTCTGCAAGGTGATGCATTGAGGAGACGGCGATCTGGTTAGAGGACAATGGAGGTGAGAGCAAACTCCTTGGAGGCCTCTGCTCTGTTTATGTCTTTTACTTGTGGGACACAGATTTGCTATCAGTTCTGAAACTGGAAAAAAACAGCTATACCTGTGCAATCTGTCCTCCAACAGCTCCAGATATTTGGTGGTTTTCTCTTTCAACTGGCTTTCTGTGAGGGAAAAAAGGCACAAAAGGAAAAGGTATTGTTACTTTTACCTTCATTCATTTCTTTTATGGGCAGAGATGTGGTATCCTAGCAACAAATCACAGTGCTAATACTATTAAAATCCACTTGTCATTAGCTGTGTTATATGGGCCTTTTTAGGAAAGGTAGTCATCATCGCACTTGGCAACCGCATTGTGCAGAAAAGCTGCAAGAGTACAAAGAACCAGCTGGTTCTCTGTTAAAACTAAAACAGGAGGATTTTAGACAGCCTGAGGAAGAATGAGGATTTTATCACCGCATAGCTCCTTTTAGCCAGCCAGATTTTCTGTAGGGCACAAGATGGATGGATGGATAGCCTATGCTGCTGCTTCCTGTGCCCTCCTGCCAGCGGAGAGCTTCGCCTGAGGACGCAGGCGGAGGCTGCTGAACGGTATTCGGTTTGGAGAGGAGGGCAATCTGAACACTGTTAATGAGCTCATGTATTAAACATGAGAATATGCCCCACACAGCAGGAGACCTTTGAACACAATAGGATGCACTTTAATCAAATTACTCTGAATATATGTAGTTAAGCTAAAAAAGGAATTCATACCCAAGACTATTCAGTGATAAAATCAGGACAGGAAGAAAGCATAGTTTGCAAATTATATTGTATGTATATTAAGGAAAAATATATTTCCTTACAATCTTTTCCATCTGATGTTTAAATTTGTTTAATAAATTATTATGTAGAATTAGTGTTGTGTTTTTTCTTCTTTTGCAATCGATCCAAATCATCATGGAACCCATCAGAGACGCAGTAATTTTTATTAATTGATGGAGTTTATTAATCTCACACTGGAGAAATTAACCTCTGCATTTGATCCACCCCCTTGGGGAGCAGTGGGCTGCCATTATGTCAGGTCCCTGAGGGTCTTGCTCAGGGACCCAGAGTGTCAGGGTTGGAACTCAGAACCTCTGGATTCCAAGCTCAATGCCTTCCCAATAGAACACTCAAATACCTTACTTACACTTTACTATAAAACTACACTTTCACATTTTATTTGAGGTAAGCTATTTGCAAAACTACCAAAGGAATCCAGTACAGTTATGCACCAAGATCCGAGCGCAATACTGGTATAAAGAAGAACTGTCTGCAAGGCATAACTGGAGAACAAAGAAATTACATAAACAGACTTCAGAGAAATTACCAATGCAAAGGTCTGCCTGTAGAAAACTCAAGCATCTAATCTTTTTTTAGATCAACCAATGAAATAATCTGATGAAACACAATGCAAAGCATCTGCACTAAAGAACAGCCTCTTACCCCAGGAGGCAGGATGACTGGCTAATATGTACCTGACCACTTGTTTGCAATCATAAATCAGTGACATTTATTTCCCAGATAGACAGTTGATTTTTAAGTGTGGATCATAAATGCATGAGAGAGTGACAATATGGGAAAGGTACACTGTGAATAAAACACCCCTGATCTCAACAAGTGTACTATTCAAACTTGGAGTTTTTCAAAAATCAGACAAAAGTGTCAGACTTGGCTGCAGTTTCTCCAATAAGACATGCACTTTATTATAAGCCAGACTTTATGGCAGGACAACAGCTTCACTACTATCATTTTCATATCTGGATAATTATGTTTTGATTCTTTACTTTAATCGACCACCCTTTTTATAGTCTAAAACAGAAAACGTAAAAAAAAAAGCTAAAAAAAACATTTAACTATCTGTAAAGTGCAGAACACACAGATACTGTCTTTGAAATTGACTAAGGAGGGTGACCCACACCAAATAAATCTGTGGATCTGTACTTTTCCATGTCTATTGAATCTAATAAAAATGTATCTTGGCAACATACAAAAAAATTATTCATATTTTAACAAAAAATTCTATTCAAACTATATTACAATCTGGGATTTCACTAATACCTTGGCTTTGTGCTAATCAGTTACTGTAACCCTGCTTGCATTAGCCTTCTATATAGTTTGTCATCTTCTTGATGGAATAGAACTGCTTAAATTTTACAATAAAGGCATCAAAAGTAAAAGTTTCATAAAATGAAATAAAAAACTTGATTAGCATTTTCAGAAGGTATTCTCAGAGACGGAAAGGCGGAAGCACTTCATTTTAAAGCGGCATGTCTAAACGGATATGAATAGATGCTACTTGAGCTTAATCCCACTCATCTTTCTCCTACTGAGCATAATTCACAACAGAAAACTAACATAATTGGATGCTCTGAATCACAGAGGGGTTTAAGTTATAATTGCATTATTGTCTTGATGATGGTTATTAGACAGCTCCAGTTCAAAGATGACAGGCTCGGGGGCCAGGCACAGCAGGGAGAAAAGGAAATGTCTTGGAGAAAGTGGCTGTGACACACACGTCCAAACACCCACTGACAGAAACTAGTGAAATAACTCAGGGCTGGAGACAGAAATGCTATTTATGAGGGGCGTAAGTAAAAAAAAATAAATAAATAAACGATTCTCTCCCAAAAGTTTTTCATCAAGTCACCAAATCAGATTGCAGAGTGAGAGGTGTGTGCAGGTGATCCAGGCAGCTCACTTGCCACCCATCATCTAATTGCAGCGTAGCAGAGATCCTGTCCCACCTGACAGAGCCTCTCTTGTCAGATTCCATTCATGCCAGCCCCGTTAAGCAGCCTGCAATGGGATAGCTGCTGAATAATACATGTGGGCATGAAGCCTGACTTTGGATGGCAAACAGCATGCAGATGCAAAATGACAGGTAGGCTGTTCCTTCAACAAAATATTATTGACAGCGAACAACAGATAAAAGGTATATCGAAACAAGCGTCAAAGACCCAATTGCTTATTTAATTGTTCTTTGAATTGTTTTACTCTTGGGTGCAAAACCCCGTTGGCATGGCAACCAGTTAAGCCAGTGAGCATTTTGCGGGTTTGACAGTCGGAAAACAAATTTCCCTAAATAGAATGAGAAAAAAACGTAAAGCAGCAGAGCGTCCCTCTGTGCACAGAGGAGCCAGAGCACTGGGTGATGTTACCACTTCCTGTAAGTCCGCAGGAGGTCCCCGTCATTGGCAGGCCATGCGAATAGAATCAGCACTAAAGAGCCCATAAAAGGAGGCACTCAGTTACTCGCCGACACGCACAGCGGTGTGTTTTTGGTGCTGAAGGAACTTCACAAAGGCACTCTGAGAGAGAAAGGCTGCATTGGAAATTCATGAGTTCTGCCTGCCGTCACCCCCAGTGATCTCAGCAGGCGTCAGACATCACTGATTGCTGCCAAGGACCCCAGGCAAACCCCAAAGAGGCTGTTCATTCTGAACACAAAGCGAACCTGGAAGCTTCTGAGATCACAAGAATGTGCTCCAATAAGGTTACATCTTAATGAGTCAATATAACCAATAAACACAACAGTGTGATAATCTCCTTAATCTTTCCCATTCTTTGTCAAATTACAATCTTCCCCAGGCAGTTTTGCCAAAAATAGTTCAAGCTCAGTCAACAGAGATCACCAATGTTCAAGTTTTTCCTGCAGATTCTCAGTTAAGCCCCTGTCACACCTTGATGATTTAGCCAGAATATGCCTAAAATGCGATAAATCTGGCAAAAACCCTGGCATAAGTTATGGGTCAGTTTTGTATAAGTTATGAGCACGATGAAGCATGCTGAAGCATGCTGGCACACGTCGAATACATTGAGAAATTTTGAGCTGCTCAAATGACAGCATATGCTCATACGTGGTCCATAAGTTACAAGTAACTTATTTGATCACCGACATATGTAACAAGTATGTGACAAGTGTAAGTTACTCATAAGTCGTGGTGTCTAGTTTATCCAAAATCTATGAGTAACTTGTGCATAACTTATGCGTAACTTAGCAAGATCTTATCTCCAACGCCTATCAACGTATCTCACATGTTCCAGACGTCCACAGAACGTGCTTCTAACTTACAGCTACAGTATAATGGCATATTGGCAGCAGTTTGGTAAAAAAGTGGCTTCACATGAGCATGAGTCCTCCAGACTTCATCCCCATCATAGGGTGAGAGAGAAGGTGAGTGTGATGGGTTAGCCCTGCATTCACGCCAAACTAGTAACAAACGTCCTAGCAGACATGATGCAGACCTTCTTTTTTTATATCTTCTTTTTTTGTGGGCGGTAAACAGCAGCTAAGCTATTACCAGGATAAAAGAAATCATTTTATGCAGGCTTGGCGCCTCCAGGTGCATCGCTGCCCCACTCAGGCTTGTGACATTTCACGGGCATTACGTTGCTGTTCGTTATGCATAAGTTAGGCTGTTATTGGACATACGCTCTGGACTTGTTATGAATACGCCATGTAAACGCCAAAAGTTTAACAAATTCATAGAAAGTTCAGCGTATGCCTACGTTTTAGAAGATTCTGGGACTGGCTAAATTGTATATTGACATAACTTAAGCTTAAGCTAATACTTGGGTCAAAAGTTACACAGTGAAGTTTTATTGAACATAGTCTCCATAACATGATGCTGCCGCCATCTTTTCTAATCATTAGGTTAGCTTATTAAAGATAACCAGAGCTTTTAGTTTGTTGCCATAGATAGAACTTTTCTAGCAGATCACAACTTTGTTTTTTCTGATCCGATTCGGGCATCCTCTGTCCTATGTTTGCTAAGTTGCTTCTGTTTAAGTGCCAACCAAGCTTTTCATAGTTTTCTTCTTGCCCCTCCCAATAATTTAACAATCTCGCTGCCCTTCCAGAAAAGGCCTTATTCGTGGAGTGCTAATAGGTGTTCTATTAAATAATTCTGCACCCTGGGTTGTGAATACCCAAGGCTTACCATGGACTTTTTGGCTGCCTCTACATGTATAGTTGATTCTCTTTTTGCCTAGTCTGTCAGTTTATGGGTTTGGTCACTTCTTGGTAGATCTGCTTGAGGTGAATTCAGCTTTAGTAGAGTTTCAAAGCTAAAGATTTTGATTTGGAGCCTAACTCTGCTTTTAACGTCCCCAAAGTTGTCTCGCTAACCAGCCTTCTGTG